GCAGGCTGAGGCCAGGAGATAAAAAGAAAACCGCAGGCTGAAAGGCTGGTAAGTGTAGAGGCTCATCGGCCCTCAGACAGAAACAGGAGACATCCTTCTTTAAGGGTCAGAACAGGACTACCTGGTAACAGGACAACGTGGTAGCACTGTCCACAGCAACAGAACTTGGATTTCTTACCCTTTCGAGGCTCATGTTCTTCTTTGCTTAACAAGGGCTGCAAGAAAACCACTCCTGGCTGCTAGAGCCAACAGCCACGGTGAGGCAGCAGCACACGCAGGGACCGCATGCACCAGCTCTTGCACGGCACATGGAGGCTTGGGAGCTTTGCCACACTGCCTTCCCACCCCCTTTAGCTCAGACCTTGCTGTGTGCAGTCTGTGATGAGAGTCCTCATCCTCAGAGAGGAAGAGGTTACACACTGCATTGTGCCATCAGACAATTAATACAATTCTGAACCCTACACATCATCAAGACCAAGGTGGGTGCCCGCTGGCTCTGTATTATCCTCCTGGCACCTCTGTGCGGACAAAAGGGAGACGTTGTGTTCTGCAGTGGCAGATGTGGCACTTCTCTCCCGGAGCTGAGTGCAATAAAAGAGGTGCATTCTCATAACTGAGAAAACTCTCTTCCTGTCTCATTGTGTGACTTAAGAATGGAGGTAGAACATCAGAAGAAACCCTGGGCATTTCTTGACACTCAGTAAGTAGAATAGGGCTCAGAGGCCTCTTTTGAGCAGCCATGAACACAGTGCTCCACTGTGGAGTTGCCCGATCCATGGTTTAATGGAGTTTACACCCCATATTTATACCCCACCAGTCCTGCTCACTGTGAAATTTTTCCACTATTGAAGGAAAAAAACATACCAGTAAAGAGTGAACTCCAGCTTTTCCCAGCAACAAAGGCTGACCTTAAAGTAAGGTTCAAATTGACTGCCTGACACAGAGCAAGAAGTTTGGAACTATGTGAGTTGTTGGCTTTGCAATGGCATGGGAAGAGCTTCAGAGTTTGAAGGCAGGACAAAAAAAATGAAGTCAAATGCATGGAATAAGCTTAACAGTTCTGGGGGAATGACTTGTGCTGAAGTCTTCCATCATCTTCAAGGATTTCTTTCCGTCTCTACCCTATAGCCCTGAGGCTGCCATGTGTTCTGTCAAGATGAAAGCTGAAATCCAGGCTACAACTTTTCAAACAGTAGTCTAATGGAGAAGAAACAAAAACTTACCATCTTGCTCACCCAAATCCTTGATGTTCTGATAAAACAGTGAATAAATCTATATTCCTGCTTATAAGCCAGGGGAACAAAGCCATCAAAACAAAACCAAACCCTGAATATTGACAGATAAATGAAATAAGATATGTAACTGATGTAATGAGACATAAGTAACGTGCAACTCATGACAAGCCTGTTACTACTGGCACATAATCCTCACTGCCCAGTTTCAAAAGTAAATAGGCAGATACCTTTGCAGACATTCTCACTGGATTGGATTTCTAGCAGGTAACGGTCTGAAAGTAGAGGTAGTATAGTAGCTAAGTCAGACTCTATCCAATACTTGCCCATAACAACAAAATCCATTGTTTCAGAAGTATTTATTAGTTTAGCATGTCTTTGATAAGTATTAGTTGCTAAATCTCATATTCTTCAGTTATCTTAACATATATATCATAGCCTGTGAATGCAGCATGATTTAGAATCATAGAATGGTTTGGGTTGGAAGGGACCTTAAAGATCATCTAGTTCCAAACCTCCACGACATGGGCAGGGACATCTTCCACTAGACAAGGTTGCTCAAAGCCTCATCCAACCTGGCCTTGGAACACCTCCAGGGATGGGGTATCCACAACTCCTCCGGGCAATCTGTTCCACTGCCTCACCATCCTCAGAGTGAAGAATTTCTTCCTTAGACCTAGTCAAAATCTACCCTCTTTCAGTTTAAAGCCATTGCCCGTTGTCCTATTACAACAGGCCCTACTAAAAAGCCTGCCCCATCTTTCTTATAAGCCCCCTTTAAGTACTGAAAGGCCACAATAAGTCTCCCCAGAGCCTTCTGTTCTCCAGGCTGGACAGCCCCAACTCTCTCAGCTTGTCTTCACAGGAGAGGTGCTCAGATCATCTTCGTGGCCCTCCTCTGGACCCACTCCAACTGCTCCATGCCCTTATGTTGGGGACCCCAGAGCTGAATGCAGTACTCCAGGTGGGGTCTCACGAGAGCAGAGGGGCAGAATCACCTCCCTGGACGTGCTGGCCATGCTGCTTTGGATGCAGCCCAGGATACCATTGGCTTTCTGGGCTGCGAGCACACATTGCAGGGTGTGCTTTTAAGCACCTTAAATTTAATAATTAAACAAGAACAGTAGTGTGGATTATTGGAACTACTTCATTAATTAGACTAAAGTTTGCTCAACAAAGTTTGAAGCCCATTTCAAAAGGACATTGCTTTAAAGCAGCTAAAACAGCAAAAGATAGGTATTAAATACTTATCTTCTCATATGAACTCAAAGTCACTCAACAGACATACACTGAAACGGAAGAAAAAAGACCAACTAATTTTATCTGCTATTAGACAGCTCCTGAAAGTCAGTCTTGCAAATCTAAGCAATCAGGTAAGATTTAAGCAATCAGCACGACAATATTCTTCCAGAGTAAGGAAAAATATCAGTAACTTTAGTACTTCAGCTTCTAGAAGCCATTATAAAGCCTGCTGGTGTCCTAGGTTCTTTCATTTGAAACACCAAGACCCCTAGAAGATACTTGGTAGAAACGTACTGACTTACAATCAACACAGAACAAAGAACAATTGTTTACTATCAAAAATTATATTAAGTTTTTGCATCAGCAGGATTTTTACAGTAATACAAGCACATACCTCAGACATAATAAAAACCTGAATAAATTATATTGGGCGTGGCATAATTTCTATTTGTGACCTTATTAAAATATTACAGTTTCAACTCTTTTTCTTGCAGTTCAAAGTCCATCATCAATGACAACCACAAGCGAACTGATGCCCATTGCATTCTTAGAGCAATGGCTACCTTGGAAAGACAAAAGCCTCTGGTTTTATTACCGAGCATGATGTTGTATGGCACAGGATCTCCCTTTGGTCAGCTGGGATCAGCTGTCTCAGCCGTGTCCCCTCGCAACCTCAGCCCACCCATTCGGGGGGGTGTGCAAAAAATGGGAAACAGAGAAGGCCCTGGCACTGTGCGAGCACTGCTCTGCAACAGGTAAAGCACGTGTGTGTTACCAACGCTGTCACAAATCCAAAACACAGCACTGTACTGGCAGCTACGAAGAAAGTTAACTCCATCACAGCCAGACCCAGTACAAGGACACACGATGCAATATCCATTTCAGCGGATTCAGCTCTGAAAAGGTTTTGGAGAGCTTTGATGCAAAACACGTACCTGAAGCAACAACACTGCTAAGTGTTAGACTAGATAAAACTCTGCACTGAGCAGTTACTGGGCAACTTTAAGTACTAGGAGCTTTAAGAGGCTTTGATTGGGTTCAGCTGGTCAACTGAAAGATGACTTCTTCCACATTCCCTCTGCATTTGGGAAAGTAAGCATTTGCAAGTTAGCTTCAAAGCATTTTCAGGCTTTTCTTCCTGAAGCTGCTGTGAAAAGAAGAAGTAATACAAGCACTATAAACAACTGAGTTACTTTATGTTACTGCACTTTTAGGACATTGTATGAAGCCAGTGCTGGACATGGTGTGTTGAGCTGAATGATTATTATCAAAGCCCGGCAGAACATTCACCCCACAAATACCTTCTCTGGCCTCAGAAATTGCCCTAAACATCAGGGGAGCTTACAGAATTTAATCATTTCAGGGTGGGATATGAAACCTGCTCCTGGTGCCTTCTCTGGAGCAAAAAAAAAAAAAAAAAAAAAAAAAAAATCTATCAAGCACAGTCTTTTCTCATATCAATTAACAATAGCTGTTGGATTCATCTAGTATGACTCCAACACTTTTTGGTGAATGCCAATGCTTTAACTGCTTCCACTCCTGGTAACGACACTGCGTTCACAGCTTGATGACTTCCTGAAAGTAGCATTATAAACTAGCATCTCCCTGATTACTTGTAATGCATCATCAAGACGCCCTACCCAACATATCAATCCCAGTGGAAACCCACAGTAGAAACATACTGCAGAAATACTAGTAAGAATCTAATCCTGAGTTCAATGACATTGGTCCTGACAGCCATTAGTTAAACTTCTCACATAACTGCAGATAGAACACACTTTTTAAAAAAAAAGTGGTGTTACCATGGACAGTGTGTCAGTATTTAAAAGTAGGCTAAGCAGAACTGCACGCGTTTACAAACAGTCTTATCAAATACTTGCAACTAACATTAGATTGGATCTTAGCTGAATCATTACTAAAGATGATTAGGTAGATAAGCTTTTAACGCTTTAACAAAGATAGTAGAAAAATGAACTCTCCACAGAAAGTAACTGCTCAGAATTCAAGAGATCAGTGGCGTTGAAATGATTAAATAAATCAGTCTAGCTCTCAGCCCCCAAGACACTGGTGAAACTCACAAGGGAAGTCACAAAACCTTGAGAAGTAACATAATTAATTGTAGATCTTTAAAAACATGAACTGCCAGGAAGATAAAAGAATGTCTACCTTTTCCTTCCACAGCTAGTAACTACAAAGGTTTCAGCAGCATGGTCTAGTGAGGAACAAACCCCACATGGATTCACTGAAATCAAAGCAGACAGACTCAGCCGGTCAGGGATCCAGCTGGGCTGCAGCACCAATGTGCTCCACAGGCACTCCAGGAAAGCGATGCACTTCAATTTGATGGATCAGTGTGAGGAAAACGGCATCTGAAGGCTGTAAATAAAGACTGCACATCCTGCTGAATTAACGGTTGACGTAGCTGTACATAACAGGACCATCAAGAAGAGGGGTTGAGCTTCATTATTCAAATGTGTCAAGTCATTTTTTCAACAAATGGGTTTTCAGACAACACTTCTGCAGATATTAATACACTCACATATGAAAACAGCAACTTCAGTTCACTGGAAAGTTTTCTTTTTAATTTTACCATAAAAAGGCAAAATAAACTCTTTCACTGTAATGTTATAGCTTTTAATATTCCTGAGCTGCATTTTAGAAGCAAAAGTATTCTTAAATGGATTTAACAAGAGACACTGCAGCCTTACTTTCCCACACCACAAGTAAAAATAATTTAGCAAGAAGGCCCCTTTTTCAAAAGACAATGGCTAGCTCTGCGTGTACCTGAAAAAATGCTTCAAGTGGCTCTATGCTACCTGAAGTAATTACAAAGCCAAATATGTCAACAAAATAAGAGAATATTTTTTCAGTCATTTTACCACTGATTCTTACTTCCTGCATCAGTGTGCCTCTCTTAGATGGAAAGTACTATTATACAAGTGGCATTAATGCCAGAATAATTTGGGCCACAAAGCTTGGTATCATACAGACACATGAGGGAATCGTAGCAGTTTAAAAGATATCCTGTGTATCTTTATAGTCAGTTTTAAGAACTACATGAAAGTCCTGTTATCCATTTCCATCGGCAAAGACTCTACTTTGTTAAATGTGATTTCACTGAACGCACCAGAAAGCAGTTCAAACCAAATCTGTATGTAACAGCTTGTCGCATGTGGAGTTCCTGTAACTGGCACCCATGTACTTCTCAAGCCAAATTAGGTGACACAGAGCTAAAATCTAAATCAACTAAAATTAAGGTTTAGAAAACTGAGAATCAAGAAAACAGGTTGGCTTTTAGCACTGCAGGAACTTGAGCACAAGCACTGGTGGTTATATCTACATTGTGGCAGAAACCTAGAAGAGAGACAACAAAGCACGAAGGAACATCAAAAAATCAGGTGTCTATTTTCTGGATCTCAGGGACTAGATGCAAGTTAAACATTGGTTGAAACAAACGTGCTTTCTATAGCAGTCACACTGATGAGGTCTCCTTTACAACTTTCTGGCCCTTTTGTCCAACCACAGCCTTTCCAAGGAGCCAAGGCCTCCACTACCCGCTCCAAGTACTCCTTTGCTTACTCAGTGATCTCCTCCGGTGCCTTCGCCTCCTGCTTGCGCTTCTGCGACTGTGACTTCTCTCTCTTCTGTCTCGTTTACGTTCGCTACTGCGAGTTCTTCTGTAACGTGAACGTCTGGGGCTTACGCTTCTTCGACGAGGACTATGGCTTCGTCGAGGACTGTAACTTCTGCTAGAGTGTCTATAATACCTCCTTTCTTTCCTGCGCTTTTCATCCTGGTAGCTCACATCTCTTCTGTGTCTGCTCCTCTCTCGTTTACCTCTACTCTCATCAGTGTTTATGCTGCTACACGAACGGCTCTTTCTTCTCCTTGGCTCTGTGCTACGTTTGCCCTGCTCACAGCGTGAGTCCTTCCGGCAGGTGTTCTGGTCATAGCGAGAGAGGCTCTTCTGCTGCTGGTTATTGGCAGGAACACATGAAAGTACCCCGGAACTTCTTTTCTCAGAGTTTGTGGTATGAAGTTTCTGACCTTCTTTGACGTGAACTTTGTCATGAACATTGCCATTCAAGAATTTGCACTGAGTGTTCACACTCTCAGGGGATGCTACTTCTCTTTGAGAGCCAGGAGCCAGTTTGTCTGTAACAGCCTGTCCTGAGGTAGAAGTGATGCAGCTGGATGACACAGTGTGTGGAACACCACTAGGGGTTTTCAGTGAGTCAGAGTCAGACTGAGGTGCTTCAGTTTCTTCTTTGTTTTGATTAACTGCATCCATTTTCTTGCTCAGAAGATTGTTCAGTAGTTTCTCCCTCAGTTCCTTTTCTTTTCTCTGCAGCCCCAGTGCTCTCTCTTTTTCCTCTTCCACACGTTTGAGTTCAGCCTCCTGCAGCCTTCGTCTCTCCTCTAGCTGCTGAAGACGAATCTTTTCTTCATTTTGTTCTTGCTCCAAAAGCTTTACTGTCTGAAAGATAGTCAAAGGGAAGGTAAGAGTAAACAAGAAAATATTATAGACCTGCTCATGCTTCCAAATTATACCATAACACCAACGCAGCAATATGACAAGAAAATAAAATCCAACAAATAGAATTTAACCATCCCAAAATAAAATGGTTGTTTCCCTCCCAAAGGGAAAAAAAAACCAAACCAACCAAACAAAAAAAACCCCACTAACACACAACTGTTGCAAGGTGAAACACTAGTATTAGTCCACAAACTCTTTTGAGTGTTAATTTGTCCTAGTTGTTTCACAGAGCAAAAACAAAGCCTGGTCTTTATGGCTCCTTAATACGACAAGAGTAACACACGTGAAATTTGAAGTATTAAAGTACATTTATCAGGGTCAACACTTGAAGGTTTCAGTCAAGTTTCTCTTAGATGACTGCAATCTGTGGTTCATAGATGACTTTATAATGAGTTCATAAACCCAAGAAATACTTAAAACACACAGATACTATGTAGAAACTGATTTTCATTTTGTCAACCACTTTAGAAACTCATGATACTGAAAAAGAAGGTTTAAACCTTTTTTTTATTCTGACCCAGACAAATGGCTTAGAGTAGACCTCAAAATTCTGAGAGTGAAGGAAACACACTGTTCCGTTTCATCAGACAACCTTTCTGTTTCACATCTACAAAGTTACAAAGCCTGCAAGAAGTATTTCTCCCTTCTCCTAGCATATAACTGACCACATAGCACTGCATGAGTTCAAAACCAATGGCATCAAGGAAAAGAAATCTGTGCTTTCCCACAGAGTTTTTAATTTCTACAGAAAATATTTAGCATGCATTACATTACACTCTAACGTGACTTTATCAAAGTCTTAAGCAAACGATACCCTGTTTCAGTGAAAAATAACCATACTGTTAAGAGAGACAGGATCTAACATTTGAAGCCTTGGCTGATAGTACTTCTCCTACAGAGAAATCATTCCGCACATTTTCAAACAGAATAATTAAAGCACATTCTCTGAAACTGCAAAGAACAGTTAACAGAACTGCTGAAAGCCAGATGGGAAACAGCATCAAAAACTGAAGTTAGAAGTAGGGAGTCTTGCATCTTATCCTGTGTTTAGTTCGCTTTATCATGCTTACACATTCTCTTACTGGCCTTAAGAACAAGCCTGCCAATTAGTTTACATGTGAAAAATGCTATTCAGGACTTCAGGTTCAAATTCACCCTCTATTTACTTATCAGTGGGTATTTTACCAAGGGAGAAATACTGTTTCATTGCACTTTTTTTAATTTTTGGTCTAAGGAATAACATCCGGAGAGGTACTAAATCTGTTGTTTAATCAACTGTGCTCCCCACCCCCTCTTAAGGCAGTAAAAGACTTTGTTCTGCTAGGTTCTTCATTAGCTTCTGAAATAAATATTGAAGTTACCTTTGCCCTGCTTAGCAGCTCTGCAATTAGTCTAATGGACTGAAGATTTCTCTGAGCTAACAGGAGCTTCCTTTCTTCTAACTTTATCTTCTCTTGAAGTTTTTTCTGTTCTTCAGCTTGAAGCTTTTCAAGTTGCTTTTTGTTTCGACGAACTTCACGATCTTTCTGTTTCTGTTCTCTCTTGCGCAACTTTTCTTCTCTTTTTCTCTCTCTCTCGTATTCTTCCAGCTCTCTCTGCTTCCTAAAAAGAGGTTAATATTTTTACCTTATCTAGGCCACGTACAATTTTAGACTCCTACTCTATGTGAAAATATATTTCGTACTTTGAGTAAGTTTGTTTCTAAGTAAGTCTTGTTGATTACTGAAAAACAGAAGTAGAAAACAGTGAACATTTTAACCATTAGTTGTGATAGCAAACAATCATCAGCCTGTCAGTATCTGAAAACCAGTTGGAGTCCAAACGTAAAACATGGCTACAACAAAATAGTTTGTTTGGTTTTTTTTTAAATCAATGTGACCAGAGACAATAACAACGCATCAGGCAGCTAGGCAGTCAATCGTCACAGTGAGAAGAAAATTACCACGCCAATTAATGTGTGCGGGGGTTGGTGGTTTTTATTTCAGTCATTAGGACAAAATGGTAGCTTACGTAAAAGGCCGAGGGTTTCTGAGGTCGGGTGTCTAATGGCCAGATTTTTAGGAAATTAAGTATTTTTCAGATTTACTATTTTAAACTGAACATAAGCATTAGTGATGATCTAAATAACCTACAGTTTCAGAAATTGTTTAACATCTAAACAGCAATGAGAATTTACACACATCAAGGCAACTGGACACCATACAACCTCTGAAGCAATTTGCTGCATTCGTGTTTATATTTTGAACAGCTGCCTTATGACATTTTCAGCTACATATATTTTCTTAAAATGTCACTGTTAAGATATGCTTGTACCCCATCTCTTTCCTGGAAAAATACTGATGTTAAGAACAAATGAGCTTTATAATATCAAAGTTACTTAATAGTGGAACTAGTGCATAATTTTCTACTCTCAATCTACAATGCACATTCTTCCATCAGAATGACTACAAATCATGTAAGTTCCCAGCTCTTAGAATTACACTTCAACCAAAGAAAAAAAAAAGGTGCAAAACACTCTTCTCCAAATCTCATAATCCCTGAATTCTACTTCCTCAAAAGGACCACAATATTTTAAGTGTTCCACTTTACCTACAGGAGTAGAACTCTGACAGGAAACTTGCATTTAGTTATTTTCTATCCATTGATGCTGATATGAAGGTATAACTACAGTTTTGTTATGCCTCGTTGTTAAAAATACATCTAAGCAATAGGTGATAAATACCTTTCTTCCTCTTTTTGTTTTTCCTCAGCTTCTTTCTCTTTACGTTTTTGTTCTTCTCTCTGTTTTTCAAGCTCTTGAAGCTTTTGCCTTTCGAGCTGACGCTTCTTAATTGATGCATCACTGAGGTGTTTTGTTGAGTCAAAAGAAACCTTTACAGGATACAATTGAAAAGTTTTAAGTAGACAAAAAAAAATCCTCAACAACCTACACAATCCCCAACGATTTTAACCTAGCACAAAGGTATTTGAAACTCAGTGTAAGTACAACCAGAAATAGAAAACCTTTTTTAAAACAAAGGGAACTTCTCTGTGTCCCCAGAGCAGGCACCAGAGTACATAACTGAGAACTAAATGCCTGCACACTAGCACAATCAGGTTACCAGTTTTCACTTTTGTGTGCTCAACACCCAAAAGTAAACCCTAGTGCGGTTTAGGCCCTGGCTGTCCAATGTTTTCAACCTGTCAGAACAGGAACACACAGAACTCTTTCAATTCATGTATGCTACTAGGGACTGTACAGCACTAGGTAAAAGAGGGCCTAAAGAAAGACCTCCCCTTCTGTCTAACACTGTGATCCTCAAGTTGAGCAGAAGAAACAGTTCTACAACATTCAGCACCTGGTTTAAGCAAGTGCTTCCCCACCAATTCCAACACCAAGATTCCCAAATTGAGGTACACTGGGCTGAAGCTCTTTGAGACCGGGAACATAAGAGAAAGGGAAGTTACACGCATCTGAGCAATGAGACCTGGGAAAAAGCTCAGCATGCAGGACACATGGGCACATCTTGGCCATGTCCAGCTGCACAGTGGAACAGGACACCAGCAGACATCACAGCCCTGGTGTCCTAATCTCTTATTCTAGATACCAATGCCTGTGCAGGCAGGCAGAGATCCATAGTACATTCCTGCAGGCCGATCGTCATGAACCATGGAGCAGAGAATAAAGAAAACATACTCTGCAGTTTATTTCACCCAGCCTCTAGGTAAAATGATGTTTCACTAACAGGCTAAAAGGACAGACAGGTAGAAACAGACAAGGTTCTGTGACCTTGTATGAAAGAGGTCTGTCTTGACAGTACAGTCATAAACACAGTCCCCCCTCTTTCCTATCAATCCCCAAGGCAGCTGCCAGGAAGGCATGCTTCCTCCTGCACAGCCAAACTAAATTTGGGAACCGTGATCCCCTGTATGTAAGTAACAGTTTGAATTTCACATCCCCTTGAAAACCTTGAGGGTCAAGGTACAAACAGCTTCTATGCTCCAACTGACAAACTTCGACAACAAGATAAAAGGTTAGATTGTTTTATTTATACTGACTAAACTACAACTTGAATAAATATTTGCATTTTCCCACATTACACAAAGGAATACTCAAGATTTTTCTGAAACACACTTTCTGATTTGATGAATGACTATTGAGCGTGCCGAAATACACCTGCAAATGTTTCACTCAACTACTATGTAAACACACAGGCCACATCTCAGAGCAAATTTTCCTCAGGTCATGCTTTCACAGATGCAACACCTGAACAGAATGCCTTGTTCTCTCCTGTCATAGTTGTATTTTCCAAGACAATAAGATTACGGAAAAAAAGATCTGGAAAACTCAGTGTGTAAATATTATGAATTAAGCATACTGTATTCAGAGGAAACTGTGCTACAGATTAACACTATTATTTAAGCTTTAGTGGGGCCTTTCTGTATGAGAAGTACACTAATGATTAACTGTGTATTCCACAGGTCTTAAAGGCCACGTGCTACTAAACTTCACAGTTCTGACACTTGTCTGGTAGACCTCATTATGAACACAGGGATCGAACACAGAGGCTGTGAAATTCTCCCGCACTTTAAAGTCAGCTGTCCAGTGAAATATGTCTGATCTTGTTCAGAATTAAAATGTTTAAGTGAAATGACTAGATTTATAAATAACACATTACTTTCTAAAAAGCATTTAGCAGGTCATGTTCATATACTTAGTCGTTCCATTAAGCAATTTTTATTTCTAGAACTGTCTTGTTAAAAAAAGCAAAACCCCACCCACTTTGTTCACATGGTCTAACAACACACTTTTCTTCTATCGTTTTCCTTTTAAAATTCTTATTATGGCTGTTTCACAAGACTCCATTAGTGCTGTTAATGTCAACTGTTGTCACCTCTACAGTATAAAGACATGGATTTTCAGCACTAGGGAAATAACACTCAGTTGTACTTCGTCTTTCACACAGGTCCCCAGAACAAGGCCCGAAGTTTCTCACCTTTATATTGCAAGCCACTGCTTTGCCGTCATCGCCTTTATACATCAGCTTCATCCCTCGCAGGGCGTTCATGGCCTTAATGAAACCTGCGTACTCGTGATACTGAACGTAAGCTTCAAAATTTAAATGGCCTCCAAAACTGAAAGTGTGGAAGTTTCTGCCAGTCATTTCTTCTCTGTAAGGGTCCAGCATGGGTATGTCCACATTACGTATTTCTCCAAATTTCCTGAAAACTTTTATAAGGATTTCTTCACTCGGCTTTTCCGAGCCAGAGTCCTTTGCTGCAAACCACTTGCAAGGTAAGCCCTCTAAGTGAATAGTATCCGGCCTCTCCCCTGGCAAAGTTTCATTCATATCTTTTGCATCACGGAAGAACGAGTCCCAGTCGTGTCTGGTAGGAAAGTCAATCTTATACTCTGCAGCACGGACTTTTAAAATGTCAGAGAAGCCACTCAGCTTTATTGTCTTGCCATCAAGGCATGCCAGAAAAGATTTAACCAAACTCTTGTTTTCAACCTCTCCTTCAAACCGGATGAAATCCATTGTGCTTTTAGAAATCCGCAGAGTGGAAAACTGATGAGTTTGCACCATCCCTTTCAATCTTTCCATCACTTCCCAGTTCGAAATGGATTTTCCTGGTTGTTTCAGCTGAGGAAGGGCCACACTGATGGTCATTTTTGTAATGGGTTTAAGGTATAAACCACAGGGAGCACAGAGCTCTACGGCTTCTGATGTATCATGAACTATTGTTGCGCCAGCCATAACACAGAAAAAGCATAGGATAAAAAAATTAAAACATGCAAGTTTAAGTTGCAGGCCAACAGTAGTCAAATAAAACAGCCCTTATCCGTAAATAACTGAAATCTTTGGCCATTTAACCATTCCCAAGTTAAAACAATGTCTCTTAATACAAGAGTCAATTAGAGAGTTAAAACCGAGTAGTACAAACATCTTACATTACTTTATAACCACTAGAGCCTATAAGTAATTAAACCTCAGTAAGGCCTCAGGGAAAAAAAAAAAAAACCACAACCACGAGAAGCTGATGACAATCTTAGGAATACATGAAGTTGGTATGGGATGGCTCAGAAAGCAGCTACCCTTTTTACGGAAGGAAGGGACTGGCGGAGCAACGTCACACCGCTTTGACGCCTACTTAACAACCAGCAAACCCCAGCAGGCTAGCGCCGAGGCGGGTCTCACGTTCTCCAGCGGAGAGACTTCGAAGGCATCTGCAACGACAGAACGAAAGTCCCCTTTC